AATACTGAGTGGTAATTTAAGATACACGTTTGAACAGAAGTGAGTGAGCATAGGCAGCCAAAGCAGAATTCAAGTGAATCAGAGTCAGTTTAAAGGGAGTATCTCAAATGTTATAAGTTCTATATTTTGGTGTTTGTTCAGTGCAAATAAATTACGTGTGTGTTCTTTATGGAACTTATGAATAAGGTTATGTCTAACATTAAGCTGACCTTCGGAAAAGTCACATTATTAGCTATGACAAATGAAAATAAAATGCAAACCACAGGAAATTTCCCTTAGCTTTTTCAGTCTTTTAAGGTAGTACGTCAGTAGATACTGTTCACACTGTAGTGCAGACCGACAACTCGATAAATTAAGTTAACAAGAGCTCGATCAGTCGTTGAAACATAAAAGATTTTATTCTTGGAAAAAAAGTAAAGCTTTAAAAATGAAATTCTTGGGCACGTATTTCTAAAACTTATAAACTAATAAAATTTCATAAGAATATTTATTATGGAATTATTTATTAGGCAAGAAACTTAGATTATCAAACGCTTCCATCCAGGAAAAATTTATGAACAATTTTGAATTTTACTTTAACAATCAGATGTGTTTGAGGGAAAACTTATACGTGAATTTTTAATTTAAGTTCTATTACATCCCAATTTATCGCCGCCCATTAGTGGCCAAGCGGTTAAAACCACTGAACACCGTTCAACATAGATTCAAATCCCTACGAAAGAGTTGGCAACATGGGTGGTTTTGTGGTTTTCTCCATATGTAAGGTAAATATGAGCTCCCTTAGAAATTCCACCCATAACGGTAGATAACCCTTGTGTGTTTTATATTCAAATAATCAACCAACCCAAGTTATTGCATAACGTATCTGGCATTGTACAAGTTTGAAGGATATATTGATTATACAGGGTGATTCTAAATTGCTTTTATAAATTAAGAGGGGTGATAGTATTCATCCAGATGAGCAATAATTACCATAGAACATAAAGTCGTATTCCACTCTGAGAGGCAGAAAAGAGGAATACTAGAATTCCAACCTGAACATACAACAGTGTTGGGAAAGCGAATGGACAAGACCAAAAGTTGCACAGTGAGTTTAGTGAAAACTCACAGAGAGCGCACAAAACGGATAAAGCCGAGAACTCGGCGTTCGAGTGTTAATTCGAGCTCAGACTTTGACGGCATACACTCAAATGCGCATCTTTGGTTGGCAAGGTCTCAACCTCGCAAATGATTAAAACAAGTTAATTAGCTAATCAAGGGCTGAATATTATCGACTAACCTCAACTTCCGCTGTATGCCGAGATTAGCATGAAAAGTTCATGCAGTGCTCCAGCTGTCAGAACTTCGTGTCCCAAAGAAGACTGCAAGTAGAATTAGAGCAGCACAGTAAAGTCCAGGATAGAAAATGGCGAAGGGGGGACAACTGCTACCTTGGATACTTGATATTAAGGTAGCAGTTGTTTCACCCTAACAGATAATTTAACCCTTAATAATTTAGATAATTAACTTGTTCCAAACGTTTGCGAGGTTGAGACCTTGCCAGCCAAAGATGTGCATCTGAGTGTTTGCCATTAAATTCTGAGCTCGAATTAACACTCGAACGCCAAGTTTTCGGTTTTATCCGTTTTGCGCACTCTGAGGTTTCCACTAAACTGATTGTGCAACTTTTAGTCTTGTTCATTCGCTCTCCCAACACTGTCGTAAGGTCAGGTTGGAATTCTAATATTCCTCTTTTCTGCCTCTCAGAGTGGACTGCGACCACTCTGACAGGCAGAAAAGAGGTTCTGTGGTTATCTATGTTCTGTGGTAATTATTGCTCATCTGGATGAGTACTATCACCCTTTTTAATTTGTAAAGCAATTTAGAATCACCCTGTACATGAAAACGAATGTTTAAAATACACTTTCCCCAAAAGTTAAGGAACCGCATGTTTTTTATACCTGATTTGAAAAGGAAGCAACATAGAAACAATAAATTTAGAGGACATATTCACTAAACAGTTCTTTAATGAATGCGACATAGAATGTGTTTAAAATTCAACATATACATGAATTGCAATAAAGAACTACATGCTTGGCAGAGAAATGCAGTTACAGGAAAATTTGGAGAAACAGTACATTACAGTTTTTTTTAGGAAATATGTGGTGGTAACATTATAAAAATGGGTTCTAATAAGGAATGTCTCCACCCCTAGCTGCAATACATTGGTGGCATCGACGTTCCATGCTGTCAATTAAGCTGTCGGCCAGTGAAATGGGAAGTAACGACCAGGCATGGAGTATTCCTTGTTCAAGCTCATCTAACGACATTAGAGGAGGACTTTAAGCAGCAACCTGTCTTCCAAGATAGTCCCAAAGATACTCTATAGGATTTAGGTCTGGGAACTGAGTTGTCCATTCCATCCACTCCATACAGTGACCCTCAAGATATTATTCAGCAACCCGAGCTCGGTGGAATGGCGCACTATCGCTCATCCGAAGAAATACAGTACCAACAGCAGCAGCAGCATATGGATGAACATACTGAAAGAATCTCATCTCGATATCTCACATCGGTCAACGTTCCTACATGGAACACATGCAGGTCAGTGGTCAAGCAACTGGTCGTCTTGCAGACAGACCTGTATTGTGTAGACGTCTGTGCTAGTAACTGAGATTCCTGTTGCCACTAAATGATCTATCATGAGCTGAGGCACAGAAATGTTGCTCCTCCTTTGGGTCGAAAGAGCTAAATAACGGTCTCCCGCAGGTGTTGTAGAGAGATCTCAGCCCAAACCATTATTCCACCACCTCTGTAATTGCGTCTTTCCACAATGTAGGATTGGATGTATCTGGTGCCCTGTTCTCTCCAGATTAGCTGACGATCTGAATCACGCTCCAGTGAGAACCTGGATTCGTCTGAGAAGAGAACAGACGCCCATTGTTGACTGATCCAGGATACATGTTCTCTTGCCCAACATAAACGGAGATCTCTATGTCCAAGACACACAGACAACAGGTCATCTTGCATGCAGACCTATATTTTGCAGGCGTCTGTGCACTGTAGTAACTGAGATTCCTGTTCCTGTTGCCACTAAATGATCTGCCATAAGCTGAGGCACAGAAATGTTGCTCTTCCTTCAGGTCAAAAGAGCTAAACAACGGTCTCCCGCAGCTGTTGTAACTGTTGATCTGGCTGGAACATGTCTTCTAGACACATAATCCTCGGATTCAAACTAATTCCATAGTCGCAGACTACACTACGAGAGACAATGAGATGTCTACCAGCATCAGCTTGTGACATCCTCATCCATCCGATCACCCGCCACCTCAACAAATCGCGCAAACGACTGCTTCTGGACATTGATAGACTCTGTTGAATGCTGTCAACGAAACTGCTGTTGAAGATCAACAATTGTGAACGAAACTTACAATTTCTGCATTTATTCCCCAAATTCTATTTCTATAAAATAAAAGTGTTAGCTACTGTTTTTGCATATATTTTCTTAAACTTCATTACTATCATGCATCTAAACTGTGAATTTAAATGTTACTGACATTTTTGAAATGGTAAGTTTTGAAAAACATGCTGTTCTTTAACTTTTGGAGGTCAGTGTAGATTGCATATCTATTTGATTCAAGGCTTGCTTAATCTTAAAACATAGCATCTCAATCTTGCTTAATCTTAAAACATAGCATCTTAATCTTGCTTAATTTTAAAACATAGCATAAACAATCTTAAAGCATAGTAATTTGTTACATCGAATTTTATGCTGATCATTTAAACAGTATAATAAAAAAATAAGCAGCATAATAAAAAAATTGTGAATGGCATAATAAGCAATGCAAATCAAACAAATTATTTGTAGAGATACTGTAATCGACTCGGATATTATACTGAATATTTAGAGAGCATATACCGTGTATAGAATAATTTTGTGAAGTACATTATAAACTAAAATAATGCAAATTAAAGGAATTTATTCTGAAGTAAAATGGACTAGAAGTAGCAGAGAAGATTTAGATCTTATGACGATTATTTAACGAGTATATACGATGTATGGAATCATTTTGTGGCATTCATCATAATGTAATCTTTAATTTTATAAATTATATTATTTCTGTAAATTAAAATTAAAATACAAATATTGAATAAAATGCATACATAACTGTGAACTACAATTTTACCACTGTGTTACTACTATGTTATGTATTATATCACTGTAGTATTGCCATTATTATTTCCATTTTAGGAAACTTAGAAGCTTCGTTTGTTTACAAAAACGAATACTGGATCGTAAAATTTTATTGAATTATTAACTTTAAAAAAGTGATATGCAGTAAGACACTTACGAAACTTATATTAGCAGAACTATATTGTTACATTTCATAATTAGGTAACCATTAAATGAACTTTTTTTTCAGTACTGAAATATTTTTGTCTGAAATATTTAAACATTTAAACAACATTGTTTTTTCTGTTTTGAAACATGTTGTTCTTGTCTTCAATGTTGATTTTATTAACAAAATCAATAAACTATTCCTCCAGATTAAACTGATAGAAAATTCAGTTAGATTGTTAAAAGTGGGTTATTCCTCTTTCCCGAGTTTTATTTAACTGCTGTGAGATAAACCAGGTTTTTTTTATTAGTTTGGTTTAGTTTATTTGACTATGGCAAAGCCCATGATGGCTACTTGCCTAAAGAAAGGGACGCTTTTGTGGAGGACTTTCTAAGAGAAACAAGCATCCACGTTACACATGAGGAAAACCATGAAAACGGCCACGCGTTTGCCGGGATTCAAACCCCAGTCGACCTACCAGCCGCGATTTTGAATTAATCATGGATGCTGTTCCTGATATTGCCCGTTTATCGGGAGTCTACTGTACATCATAAATAAATAAATATTGCCGGTAAAAATACAAAAAGTAAATATAATATACATTAAATATAAAATTAATATACATTAATTTGCCGGTAAAATTAATATACATTAAGTACCAATTTTTGTTATCGCACTCACCTTAGTCGCCAAACTCTGGCAATCATGCGAATGACAGTTCTTTAGATAACCATATCCATTGTAAGCTGCAAACTGAAAATTCATCAAATTATCTGTACGTCTTTAAAAAGTCGCCAAATTGCACCAAGGTGGTTGCGCTAATATGTAAGTACCCAAAAGTATGCCTTAGCATATTCTAATGATAACATTACTTTTATTCGGTTTAGATATAAAAGCAAACATTTCTTTCCTCATTGCGTACTGTACATATTTATGAACACTCAGTTTTACGGTATTTACGTATTAGCGCAACTATCTTGTAGAAGGTTGCTAAAATATTCAGAATACGCATAATTCTTAAGTTTCAACAAGCAATGTCGGCATTTTCGTATGTGTTGTGTTTGTTGTTTTCCAATTTAATGTTTTTTATAGACAAAACTGTTATACTTTTTATCTTAAATCCAGTTTTAAAATAGACACTCGTGAGATTCGCCTGCAGGGGAAGAAACTGCACTAAAATTTCTGCATTAATAAAATTACTTCAAAAGTCATTAAGGGAAACATTGTTTTAAATATGTTTTTAAAATTTTGCAACATAACATTTTAAAAATCTGTATTGATTTTCAGTATAAATACAAATTATAATGTAAAATATATATGAAATTAACAAATAATTCTTTGCAGTTACGAGTCATCTTTCTTTTCTCTCTATAAAAAATCGCTATGCGACAAGTTAGTTGCTCTAACACGTTAAGTACCAGAAACACGATAATGTGATACCAAAATATCAGCTTCATTACCACTCTTGTAAATATAACGTTGCATTAAGAAATATGCTCACTTAGAAAGAGAGAAACGCTCTTGCAGGTATAAACTAATAATTAGGTTATAGATGTGTCGCCTGTGTTTGTTAGCTTGTATTAGATATGGCTGCCAAATTATAAATATTTTAGGTGACTGACAAAACAAATGCAGAAAGACGAAGAAGCATGCTAATTTTAAAATAAATTCAGTTGTTATCTCATTCTAGCTGAAACGAAAAGCAATTTGGAACGCGTACTATACCTGGGAGAAAATACTCCCATTTAACATGCTTATTGTGTTTAAAACTCTCTGAATTTACTGGTGTTTCACTCGTTCAAGATAAGAATTTATCGGCTTAGCCCGTGATCTACAACCTTGTTTAATTAAGCATGCAAGCAGAATAACATATTGTCTGACGTGATTGGTTACAGTCTGTGAAATATCTGTCGAATATGTATTAAATTTAACGCTATAAAAGAATATAGAAAACCAGTGAAAGGAAGTAGTTATTTGAAAAGCAGAACATTTCCTATGGCGTTTTTAATGTTTGTCACAACATAGTTTGATCAAATGTTAAGATTATCCCTGTATTGTAGATGCATAACATTTACGCTGTTTGCATTCACGGATTTACACACACATACACAAAAAAAAAGGTTAAAAGCTTGTTGTATTAGAAGGTAAAAAACAATTCTAAACTTTACAGCTTATTATCCTTTTGCTAAAATTAATAAATCATAGTTTAAAAAGGTTCTGTATTTTTTGCGAGGGGGGGGGTTAATACAAAAAATTTAAAAAACGAGATAAAATCGCTGAGTTGTTATGCTCGCGGCTAAATTGTTTCACGGCTATTTTTAGTCACTGTTATTAGAAACGGAAGCTTTTGAAGAGCTTTCCTAACTTAAAACATAATCCATGCATAGACTTTTTTTTTCTCTGTTAAGTCCGTCATTTTCTACGTGACTCTTTATTTCTTCACACATGCAGTACATTAGGTAACTTTGCATTTCCACACTAAAATTTCTCAACTACAAAAATAGGAATAGCTTATTTTGTAAGGTTACTTTTATCTATGCATGTAACTATCGATTTTTAAACAGAAATAAGGAAATTAATTTTATAAAAACCATTTTTTGTTGAAAGTTAAGCAAATTGTTCTCAGAATGAGAAGTGATCACTAGGAAACGATTGGCGACACACAATTTTAGTATGTTGTAGTATTTGAAATAGGAAGACGTTTTGCATCCTAACAAAATATAAAATTAATGGTCTATGCCTGCCGACAGAAATGTAACCAGAATTGTGTATTGAGTCATACTAGAAATATGAAGCCAAATGCAAATTCTGAAAATGTAATCGTAGCATTTTAGCAAGCTACAACACCACACCCAGGCTCTAGCTATGTTTCTTTTTTAACATCAAATTTCTTGGCAGAATCTTATGAGCCATACAACTTCTATAGCTTGTTTTGCTCGATTATTAGATATTAATAAGTATATTTTTTACATCTCAGAATAATATTGATTCTTATCTTAAATTAACGATATAATTCTATGTATTATACATAAATGCAGCTGTCAATTAACGATGTGTAAGATCTTTCATTTACCTTTGGTAAAACTATACTGCTCGCCAGCAAAATAAATTTAATTGTCGCATCGCTCTACACTGCGCAATTACTCATAAACTTTAGTTCTTTACATCCAGAGTCTACTACTGATCAACAAGAAATATGAACATAGTTTTTTTTTTTTTTGCCAGTATTAGAAAGACCCCGAAACGGGCATGCATAGATATGCTATGAAATAAATACGGCTAAGAAGAGAAATTCCTGGGGAGGAACTTAATATTGAAGTAATAATAAATAAATATGTAAAACTAGAAATATTTGATTTATAATTATGAATCAATTCGTAAATATGGGTAAATATTCATATATGGTTAGGTTATGTTAAGTTATTCAATTACGGCAAAGCCTCAAGGTCTATCTGCCTAAGGGGAGGGATGCCTTCGTGGAGGACTTTCTAAGGGAAACTGGCTCGTATACACGTTACACATGGGGAAAAGCACGAAAACACCCATGCAGCCAGCCCGTTCGCAGGATTCGAACCTTGGACCGAACTACCAGTGTTCAGCGACTTTACCACTCGGCCGCTGGTGGGCTAAATGTTCTTATATACAATTATAGTTTCAAAAAAAATAATACTTAAAACTTTCTGTGACCTTTGCTATGAAAAAATTGCCCTACTCATTAGGAAATTTGTATTTTTGATTGCCTTGGTTACGGCAAAGCACGAGAAGGCTCTGCTTAAAAGGAAACTAGCTCACATAAAACATGGGCAGAAACCACAAAAACCGTCACCAGCAAAACTTAGCACCAGTTAACTATTGCACTACTCTAAAGAGTGCAGATACTGCACTCCACACTTTGGAAATCGCTGGGCTAAGAGTAAATGTCTACTGACAATTTCACAACCATTTTCTTTTTATTCTTTTCTTTAATTATTAAGTAAAATGTATTACTGACAAGAACGAAACAAGCAGTCTACTTTAATAATAGAATGCAACTTATTAGTAAACAAATTTCAGGCTTTTATCTGCGATCATCAACCTCGATTATTTACTCAGTTGCACATAAACCATCAAGAGAAACCTAACTGATTTTCTTGCCAAATGCTTGTCGGAACAATTTCCCAGTTAACGAAGGATGAATAGGAGTTAAAATTATTTTCTCAGTTATGTCTTCCTAGTAAAAAATGTTATTGCACAACAAAAATTTGTTATTTAACTTTACATACTAAAATGTATGTAAGACTAAATAAAAATTATTCACGAAAATTGTACTAAAGTTGTACTAAAATTCTTGCATTGGGGGAGGACTAAAAAAGAAAGAAGAGAAAAAGAAATGAAAGAAAAAGAGTAATGCTTTTTGTAGCATATCAACAATATATGTCAGTTTTTCAGATAATGCTTTCTCATGTTTCACAGAAGCATGAAATTATAATTTGACGCAAAATCAACAAAAATATACTACAGATGATAGCAAACCGGTTAAGCAGATTTAATGTCTCTCCCAGACTATTTATCAGTAAAGCCGAGAGAATGAATATACACCACAGCTGCAGTTTTCCCTAATAGAAAACTTGGGGTACGCAAGTGTTATTAAAATGTTTAAATGGTTTCTATGAAGTACGCTGAGGGTCTCGTTGCACATAGTAGGGTCTGGACGCCCCTTAATAGGATGAGTCACTGGGAGGTAAGCTGGTAAAGGGGACGGCTGAAAGGAAATCAAATTTTATAGGGGTAGCGTAGATCTGTACGTTATTTTCCCAACAATGCGCCTTTCCCCACGGCGCTAGTTTCCAGAGTGATTATAGATCGGTTGATATTGTTCACAACGTAATACTTTCCTAAATTCTACAACCTTCTCTTTCCGAGGGGGGGAGGACGTTATATGTTATTTTCTTGCATTTCAATAAAAAATAAATTAATCATTTAGTTGCATAAAATGAGGTTGGTTTATGATTAAATGAAACTTAAATACTTGCAATGAAAATTTCAGATTATTGCCTAACACTAGGAAGGAAGCTGTTAGTATTAAAAAAAAAAATTAATTTTTATGTATAAAAGATTCATAAATATTTCGATCTCTTCGTCAATAAAAATACTATTTACTGTTGCCAGCTCAAAAAAACTAAATCTTTATTCTTATATTTAAAACTTAGTTCAAAAAGAATTTCAACTTTAAAATGTTCAGAGCTCTTTTCTACGTTTCTTTTCTAAATGTAAATTGGTATAAAGAGAAAATTTTTTAAATTCTGTACATTGAAATTTGAATAAAATTAAAGCAAAGAGTATATAAACAGGATGACGCAAGGAGTATATCAAGAGGTGTGTGTTATTACAAAATTTCATCGTCAACATTCGATTTTATTTTGGATGCAGATGATAGTGTGCAGAAAGAGTAGAGTTAAAAATTTCACAAAGGATATATTATAAGGTATTTGAAATGTACTTTATTTATTCTGTTTATGGTAAAAAATACCGTATTTACGCGAATCTAATGCGCATCGTTTTTGGCCAAATGTAGTATTCAAAATTGGGGTGCGCATTAGATTCGATGGCGCATTAGATTCGAGTGCAAAGTTCGCCGATGACCGCGAATTGACCCCGACAGGAAAAATTAAGCGTGCTGCACCGCACATTGTTGCACTGAGTTTCTTCTGCCTGGAAAAGCATCGAAGCACCAAAGATTGTGAAATCTTTCAAGAAATGCTGCATTTCAAATG